TCATTTCTTTGCATCAGGTGGCCAAAGTATTGGAGCTTCAGCTTCCACATCAGTCCTTCCAATGAATATTCAGGACTGATTTCTTTAGGATGGACTGGTTGGATCTCCTTGCAGTCCAAGGGACTCTCAAGAGTCTTCTCCAACACCACAGATCAAAAGCATCAATTCCTTAGCACTCAGCTTTCTTTATGGTCCAACTCTCACATCCACACATGACCACTGGAAAAACCATAGCCTTGATGAGACTGACCTTTGTTGGCAAAATAATGTCTCTGCTTTTTAATATGCTGTCTAGGTTGGTCATAACTTTCCTTCCAAGGAGCAAGTGTCTTAATTTCCTGGCTGCAGTCAACATCTGCAGTGATTTTGGAGCAGAAGAAAATAAAGTCTGTCACTGTTTACATTGTTTCCCCACCTATTTGCCATGAATTGATGGAACCAGATGCCATGATCTTAGTGTTTTGAATGTTGAGTTTTAAGCCAGCTTTTTCACTCTCCTCTTTCACTTTCATCAAGAGGCTCTTTAGTTCCTCTTCATTTTCTGCCATAAGGGTGGTGTCATCTGCATATCTGAGGTTATTGATATTTCTCCCAGCAATCTTGATTCCAGCCTGTGCTTCATCCAGTCTGCATTCCTCATGATGTACTCTGCATATAAGTTAAATAAGCAGGGTGATAATATACAGCCTTGATGTACGTCATTCCCAATTTGGAACCAGTCTGTTGTTCCATGTCCAGTTCTGTTTCTTCTTGACCTGCATACAAATTTGTAAGGCAGCAGGTATGTTTATGTCTGGTATTCCCATCTCTTTAAGAATTTTCCACAGTTTGTTGTGATCCACACAGTCAAAGGCTTTGGCATAGTCAAAAACACAGATGTTTTTCTGGAACTCTAGCTTTTTCTATGATCCAACGGATGTTGGCAATTTGATCTCTGGTTCCTCTGCCTTTTCTAAATCCATGTTCTCAGTTCTCAGTTCATGTACTGTTGAAGCCTCGCTTGGAGTATTTTGAGCATTATTTGCTAGCATGTGAGGTGAGTGCAATTGTGTGGTAGTTTGAGCATTCTTTGGCATTGCCTTTCTTTGGGATTGGAATGAAAACTGACCTTTTCCAGTCCTGTGGCCACTGCTGAGTTTTTCAAATTTGCTGGCATATTGAGTGTAGCACTTTCACAGCATCATCTTTTAGAATTTGAAATAGTTCAGCTGGAATTCCATCACCTCCACTAGCTTTGTTTGTAGTGATGCTTCCTAAGGCCCACTTGACTGCACACTCCAGGATGTCTGGCTCTAGGTGAGTGATCACACCATCGTGGTTATCTGGGTCATGATGATCTTTTTTTGTATAGTTCTACTGTGTATTCTTAATACCTCTTCTTAATATCTTCTGCTTCTGTTAGGTCCATACCATTCCTGTCCTTGATTGTGCCCACCTTTGCATGAAATGTCCCCTTGGTATCTCTGCTTTTCTTGAAGAGATCTCTAGTCTTTCCCATTCTGTTGTTATCCTTTATTCATTTCACCCAAGAAGGCTTTCTTGTCTCTTCCTACTGTTCTCTGGAACTCTGCATCCAGTTGGGTGTATCTTTCCCTTTCTCCCTTGACTTTCATCTCTCTTCTTTTCTCAGCTGTTTTGTAAGACCTCCTCAGACAACCATTTTGCCTTCTTGGCATTTCTGCTATGTATACTAAAATCTGAGGATACCCATAGTCAGCTTTTCATCCTCACGGCTTCATATCTGTAGATTCAGCCAACTATTAATAGCGTGTTAAGTCTGCAGTCCACAGTGAGCTGAATCTGCTAATGTGAAATGTGTGATTACCAAGGGCCTACTGAATATTTGTTGAAAAAATACACAAAAAAGTGGACTGTGCAGTTCATTCCCTTGAACAATGTGGGGGATAGGGACGCTGACCTCTACCCAGTTGAAAATCTGTATATAACTTAGTTGCTCCCCCTGTCTGTGAAATCATCATGTAGTACTGTATTATTTACTGCTGAAAGTAATTCATGTATAAGTGAACCAGCACAGTTCAAACCTGTGTTGTTCAAGGGTCAACTGTATATAAGTCATCATAAAAAGCCCACAAGATTGGTTATTCCCACTTCTCAGATGAGAACATTTAGATTCTGAACTTTAATCCAGTAATTCACAAAAAAGTCTCAAATCTATACAGACATCTCAGTTATTAACAACTTTACATTAAACATTAGTAGCCATGCCAGAGAAGATAGGTATATACAAAGTAATTTACAACATTTTCAACACAAAATTGTTAAAAATAATAACTAAGGGATGTGAAGAAGATAAATTTTAGTTACCTACAGTATTCATTTCTGTGCTGTTTTCAGATGATTAGAAATAAATTTGATGATTGTACACATAACAGGATATTGTTCACATTAAGTTAATTTTGTCTTTTGTTGAGCAAATATGAAAGTTTTGGTGCAAATTTTGATGAGATAATGTAAGCTTTCATCATCTCCTCAAAGTAATTATCAGAAGTGTGAGAAATGTGCAAATATTTGGATACTACAGTCTATCCAAATAAATTTGGTGAATTTTCAAAAATATTACTTTCACAATACAGTTTGTATATTTTAGCATTAAAAATCATCAAATATAAATCCAAATTAGCAAATAATATAGTTATATGGACATCATATTTTTGCTTCAGTTACTTTTGCTTAATTTTATTAACTTTAGGGCTACAGAAGTGAAAGAGTACCATCAATTTGTTTCTTCATGTCTGCATATATTCATCATTTAAAAGAGAACAATATTCATGCCGAAATGTTAAAAAACTAACAGTTTGAAGTATATATTGAAATTTTTTAAAAATGCAATCTATTTATTTACTTTCAAAAGATGAAGGTGGTTAATTTGAAAAAAACAGTCACATTCAGGTGGACTTGAAAAACAATTTTAATTTTTACTCAAAATATATGAGATGTCATCATTAGCCCTTATCTTACACTTGAAAAATGGAGACAGTTGTACAGGAAGGGAAATAGAAGTTATTAGATTTTAAGCTCAAATTTCAAAAGTATTCAAATAAGGCAGGTAAAAAGAAATCCAGATACTGTTCCATTATCCAGCATAATTTTCATGTCCCCTTATTTCATAAAACATAAATATTACCATTTACTAGAAATAATAGTTTTAGTTTTTTTTTTCTAAACACCATGATTCTTGCTTTATAGCTATGAAGGCTTCCCAGCAGTGCCACCTATTTCATAAACTGACCAGCAGTTTCTCTCTTAAAAAGAAAATTCCAACCTATGTGGATTTAAAGAATAAATATGACATATCCTTGGTAAACTATTTTATCACCACCAGGTATAAGAGATCAGTATTTTGTAATGAAGAAATTCAGAGCATTTAACAGCATATTACTGCACTATGATGGGACTGAAAAAAGTACGGGCCTTTGTATACTGATAAATTCTGACAAGACACCTGAAAAACAGAGGTGGGGGTAGGAAATGGTAGGAATAAAGTTTGGCTACCTACTAGTAAAATAATTTTGATTAAAACTCACCAGACCTAATACAGTTCTAAAGAAACTGATGAAAAGTGCTACCCCTGCCAACTATAATTTAGATGGTATTGTTTGAAAAAAACAGCCAACCGAGTAGCTGCTCTTTATGTGGAATTAAAAATAGAGGGCTTTGTCATTATTTATTAGGCACAGGAAGAAGATTCCTGCTTTATTAAAAAGAAGAAAAAAAAGATTAGGTTAAAAGGGAACTAGTAGCTCCCAAAAGTATAGTAATTAATCTAACTCCTACCCCCAGATGGCCATATGTTGTACAGTTTCAGTAAATTCTGACTTAGTCTTACTTCTGAAATGAATTTACAAAGTAAAACAGTAATAAAAAAACAATAAAACCCTGTGACGATGACTGTTGCTCCTACCAGAAAGACAGTAAGGAAGTCTTGATTTGTTCGCACACAGCAACAGTGCAAGCGGCATCCATGCCTGGTCCCCGATACGTGATCCCTTCAATGCAGTGTAAGTCTCCCCTCGGCAGCCACCTGCAGAGAACTGAAGTGTAGTGAATGGGTCGGTACTGCGTCTGGTTCACTGACACCACGGGAACAGTGGCCATTGCCATTATTCATGTGTGTTGGCTGAATACTAATCTTGGCAAATACTTAGCCACTAGATTATTTTCTTAACAAGCAGTTTCTCGTGAACAAGGTCTGGTCAACAGTAAGCTAGAATGAATTTCAACCTGACCTCCTTGACTTTTAGGACATGTGTTAATTCTTGGCCTCTTTTTTAAAAACCTCAGTGTTGTTTGATAGGCAGCCACTAAAATAAATCCTCCCCCTTTTCAACTCACTTTCCTTTCTTTTCCCTAAGGTTGGACCCTATGTAAACCTAAAAACGTATGATAACTTTATATACAAGGTTTCTCAAAGTGCAAAATGTGTTACATATAGTTTCATAGGCTTCATTTACACACAGCATTTTATACAATACAGTACGGTTTGCAATTTCTGTTCATAAATTTACACCACTTAACAGACACCTACAGTTGACCCTTGATCAGTGTGGGTTTTGAACTGCATGGGTCCACTTATATGTGGATATTTTTAAAAAGTGAATCCTAGAGCACTACATGATCCACAATCAGTTGAACCTACAAATGCAGAGGAATTTCAGATACCGGGGCTGACTATAAATTATACACAGATTAACACACTAACCCCTGCTGCATGTTGTTCAGGGGTCAACTGTACTTCCGAAGTTTGGCCACTCAAAGTAGCCCAGTGCCTTCCTACGCAAGGTTAACAGAGCCGAACTGTACAAGCTTTGTTCAGACCATGACACAGTGAATCTTACACTTATCACATATATACATATATATTAATAGTTTAAAATTGCTCTTTAAATGGTTAAGGATAGCTAGACACATCTCACCCAGCACGAAATAGTTTGGTTTAAGACACTGTACACAATAGTTAAAAACACCATTTGTAGGACAAGTCATTTTATTTCCTTCTGCACCACCTGCTCAGCCTGTACCTCTTTGGGAACAGTTCTTGATCGCTGGAGAACCACGCTAAGCTCTTCGATGACTTTTGGTGGTAACTTATTATTGCAGTCCAAAGTATCTTTGCCATTCCTGTCCTCGGTCTTCCTCAGTGTCTTTAGGCCTTTATGGCCTTTCTGTCGCCCTGGAAAGACCTCAGCCTCTGTGTCCTCCAGACAGTTGAAACTCCGGTGTTTTCTGGTTCGATTTCGAAGCTTCTCGTCCTTCTGCTCCAGGCACTGGGCCACGATGGAGGCTTTCTCCTTTAAGGTGCCATCCCCACCTTGGTCACGCTTGGCCCCTAGCCGCAGCCTTTCGAGTTCTGCTTTTGCACTCTTGAAATAAAAGAAGACATCTCAGAGGGAAGCAAGATCTGGCCTACTCTGCCTAAAGAATACATGGCACGTAAAAGTTGATGCTTCTTTTATTAGAGTTTATTTCTATGACTTTCGGCACTAGCAGCAGGTCTGAATTTATAGATGGATCTCAGAGCTACAAAACCAACTGAAATGGAGATCATGGAAATTCATTTTAACAAGCATTTAACATACCACTTCAAAGATGTCTTTCAAGCTAGTTATTCAAATTGACTCCCATTTTAAGCTTGCCTCTTTCAATTCACTGCTGCTTGGATGTGTTACATGTTCATGCATCTGTAATTCCTAGTGTTGTACCCAAAGTACAGAGGAAAACGGGGGTCTCTGTGGCCATTAAGTCCAGGAAATACACTTTGTAATAGATCCCTCTTTGAGATTCACAATACATATTAAAGAAGCTGAGAAATACTTTATAAGAAACACCTGTTCAACTTACTTTTCTGTTTTTTTTTTCTCCTCCAAAAATATTTGACTAGTGCAATCTTTCCCCCATATAATGCCTATTAGAATCCTACAGATATTTGTGAAAACACTGAAAGGAATATATAGTTATGTATTAAAACCCACTTTTGTATCAGTGGCTTAGAGTACACCCTGTCAACTGTGTCTGCAAGCACCAGAAATCCCATGAGACAACCTGCGTTGGGACAGGGGTGTGCTTTCATAACCAGTGTCCATGGCATCTTGTGACTGGGCAAGTACTGTCATCCAGAACTCTCCTCAGATTCTCAAAGGGGCTTACACCCTAACCAAACGTGAGATAAAAGAATGAACAACAGAGAAGTAAGCATCTCGTGGGTACAGAGCCACGGGGAAAGGCTACCCAAAAAACTTGAGTTGGGGCAAGTGGGAAGGCATAAATCGTTTTCCTTTTCACAAGCAAGAGTTGAAGGAATTTCTTCAAAATTCCCTCATAAAAACTGCAAAGCACAGAAAGAAGAAATCCAAGGAAAAATTTTTATTGTATTATAAATGAGAGAAAGATGAAAATGGTGATGTAACATGAAGAATGGGACTGTTTTGCAGATGGCAAGTAGAAGTATGTGTGCTTACTCATTCTTACGGAAACGCCAAAAAACTAACTGAACAACCATTGACAAAAAAACACACACACTCTGGAACCTTTAAAAGATACCTACAAAAAATAAAATAAAATATACATACATCCAAAGACAAAAAGCCACAACGAGATGGTAGGAAGAGTATAATCATGATAAAATCAAATCTCATATCTACTGGGTGGGTGATCCACAAACTAGAAAATAACTATACCGCAGAAGTTCTCCCACAGGAGTAAAAGTCCTGAGCTTCACATGAGGCTTTCCAACTAGGGGGTCTGGCAATGGGAAGAGGAGCCCCCAAAGAATCTAGCTTGGAAGGCAACATGTTCTTGGGTTGGAAGAATCAATATTGTTAAAATGACTATACTACCCAAAGCACTGCTATACTTAGATAACCTGTATAGCACAGGGAACTCTGGTCAATATTCTGTAATAACCTAAGTGGGAAAATAATTCGAGAAAGGATAGATACATATGTATGTATAGCTGAATCACTTTGCTGTAGACCTGAAACACAATATTGTGAATCAACTATACTGCAACATAAAATAAAAAAATACTACTTTGAATAAAATGGAACTAAGTAGCATAAGCAGTGTTTTGACTAAGGATGTCCAATGTAATGTTCAAAGGGCAACACCTCACCTCTTAATTTTTCTCCGTAGTGCTCTTTCTAATATTCTAGTAAGCTATTCATACCTCTTGTGATTGTCTGAATGCTGCTGGAAACTCAACACACTGCAAGGAGGGTTTTGTTTTTAGCTTTTGTTTGATTTGTTCAGTGATAAGTTCACTTATCACCGTGCCTGCAGATGGGAAATTACCAATAAATATTTTCTGAATAAGGAATGAAGAAAGGTTAAAAAAATTCAAATGTGTAATGTTTTATCATATTCTGTTTTATCTTCCTAAAGTCCAGCAGATTGGGACATAATTTTACAATTTGGAATTTTCTGATAAGCTCATGATTATACATCTCAGAGAAATACTTCTACTCTAAACCTGAGAAGAAGAAATAGTTGTTTAGTATCTACCTTAATTCCAAAGTTTCATTAGAATACGTTAGAATGGCTGAACAGCCATGTGAATGTTAATTAATGAATTGTGCATGTAAACTGCTTAAAATGGAAAATGTATTTTATCACAGTACAAAAAGAAAAATGAGAGAGGATTAATAAAAATGATGGCTATTTAAACATAGGGATATGACGGGGAGTTTATAAATCAATATGAATCTTATTAAAAGTTTCACTTGGTATCTACTACTCGGGAAAATCAAGGATCAATATAGAGTGTTTTATATATCATAATGGCAGTTCTCTTTTCAACTATTGGCAGAGAGACATGGGGATTCTGATGTAGTATTTAGAGGCCAATTATGGGCTTTTCAGGTGCTGCTAGTGGTGAAGAACCCACTTGCAAATGCAGGAGACATAAGAGATATGGGTTCGATCCCTGGGTAGGGAAAATCTCCTGGAGGAGGGCATGGCAACCCACTCCAGTATTCTTGCGGGGAGAATCCCCATGGACAGAGGAGCCTGGCGGGCTACAGTCCATAGACTCGCATAGTCGGAAACGACAGAAGTGACTTAGCACGCACTAGTCATCTAGTCTCTTCAATACAATCATCCTGTTTTGCATCAATTTTACTTTTATACTTTCCCTTATACTACTATAGATGACAAGAGTGAACATCGACATTCTAGGAATCGGTGAACTAAGATGGGTGAATTTAACTCAGATGACCATTATATCTACTACTGTGGGCAGGAATCCCTTAGAAGAAATGGAGTAGCCCTCATAGTCAACAAAAGAGTCTGAAATGCAGTACTTGGATGCAATCTCAAAAACGAAAAAAATGATCTCCTTTTGTTTTGAAGGCAAACCATTCAATATCACGGTAATCCAAGTCTATGCCCCGATCAGTAACGCTGAAGAAGCTGAACTGTGCTATGAAGATGTACAAGACCTTCTAGAACTAACACCCAAAAAAGATGTCCTTTTCATTATAGGGGACTGGAATGCAAAAGGAGGAAGTCAAGAAACACCTGGAGTAACAGGCAAATTTGGCCTTGTAGTACGGAATGAAGCAGGGCAAAGGCTAATAGAGTTTTGCCAAGAGAACACACTGGTCATAGCAAACACCCTCTTCCAACAACACAAGAGGACTCTGCACATGGACATCAACAGACATTCAACACCAAAATCAGTTTGATTATATTCTTTGCAGCCAAAGATGGAGAAGCTCTATAGAGTCAAGACCGGGAGCTGACTGTGGCTCGGATCATGAACTCCTTATTGCCAAATTCAGACTGAAATTGAAGAAAGTGGAGAAAACCACTAGACCATTCAGGTATGACCTAAATCAAATCCCTTATGACTATACAGTGGAAGTGAGAAATATATTTAAGGGATGGATCTGATAGAGTACCTGATGAACTGTGGACGGAGGTTCGTGAAATTGTACAGGAGACAGGAATCAAGACCATCCCCCAAGAAAAAGAAATGCAAAAAAGCAAAATGGCTGTCTGAGGAGAACTTACAAATAGCTGTGAAAAGAAGGGAAGCAAAAAGCAAAGGAGAAAGAAAAGCAAAGGAAAGATATTCTCATTTGAATGCAGAGTTCCAAAGAATAGCAAGGAAAGATAAGAAAGCCTTCCTCGGTGATCAATGCAAAGAAATAGAGGAAAACAATAGAATGGGTAAGACTAGAGATCTCTTTGAGAAAATTAGAGATACCAAGGGAACATTCCATGCAAAGATGGGCTCAATAAAGGACAGGAATGGTAGGGACCTAACAGAAGCATAAAATATTAAGACGAGGTGGCAAGAATACACAGAAGAACTGTACAAAAAAGATCTTCATGACCCAGATGTGATGTGTGTGATCACATAGAGCCAGACATCCTGGCAAGTGGGCCTTAGAAAGCATCACTATGAACAAAGCTAGTGGAGGTGATGGAATACCAGTTGAGCTATTTCAAATCCTGAAAGATGATGCTGTGAAAGTGCTGCACTCAATATGCCAGCAAATTTGGAAAACTCAGCAGTGGCCACAGGACTGGAAAAGGTCAGTGTTCATTCCAATGCCAAAGAGAGGCAAAGCCAAAGAATGCTCAAACTACCACACAATTGCACTCATCTCACATGCTAGTAAAGTAATGCTCAAAATTCTCCAAGCCAGGCTTCAGCAATAGGTGAACCGCGAACTTCCAGATGTTCAAGCTGGATTTAGAAAAGGCAGAGGAACCAGAGATCAAATTGCCAACATCCGCTGGATCATCGAAAAAGCAAGAGTTCCAGAAAAACATCTATTTCTGCTTTATTGACTATGCCAAAGGCTTTGACTGTGTGGATCATAATAAACTGTGGAAAATTCTGAAAGAGATGGGTATACCAGACCACCTGACCTGTCTCTTGAGAAACCTATATGCAGGTCAGGAAGCAGCAGTTAGAACTGGACATGGAACAACAGACTGGTTCCAAATAGGAAAAGGAGTACATCAAGGTTGTATATTGTCACCCTGCTTATTTAACTTTTATGCAGAGTACATCATGAGAAATGCTGGGCTGGAAGAAGCACAAGCTGGAATCAAGATTGCCAGGAGAAATATCAATAATTTCAGATATGCAGATGACACCACCCTTATGGCAGAAAGTGAAGAACTAAAGAGCCTCTTGATGAAAGTGAAAGAGGAGAGTGAAGAAGTTGGCTTAAAGCTCAACATTCAGAAAACTTAAGATCATGGCATCCAGTCCCATCACTTCATGGCAAATAGATGGAGAAATAGTGGCTGACTTTATTTTTGGGGGCTCCAAAATCACTGCAGATGGTGATTGCAGCCATGAAATTAAAAGATGCTTGCTCCTTGGAAGGAAAGTTATGACCAACCTAGCATATTATGACCAACCGGCATATTAAAAAGCAGAGACATTACTTTGTCAACAAAGGTCCATCCAGTCAAGGCTATGGTTTTCCCAGGAGTCATGTATGGATGTGAGAGTTGGACTGTGAAGAAAGCTGAGCACTGAAAAATTGATGCTTTTGAACTGTGGTGTTGGAGAAGACTCTCGAGAGTCCCCTGGACTGCAAGGAGATCCAACCAGTCCATCCTAAAGGAGATCAGTCCTGGGTGTTCATTGGAAGGACTGATGTTGAAGCTGAAACTCCAATACTTTGGCCACCTGATGGGAAGAGCTGACTCATTGGAAAAGGCCCGGATGCTGGGAAGGATTGGGGGCAGGAGGAGAAGGGGATGACAGAAGGTGAGATTGTTGGATGGCATCACCGACTCAATGGACATGGGTTTGGGTGGACTCCGGGAGTTGGTGATGGGCATGGAGACCGAGCGTGCTGCGGTTCATGGGGTCACAAAGAGTTGGACACAACTGAGCAACTGAACTGAACTATATTACCTTATTGAAATTTCCATTGTGCTATTTATCAGGTACCTCATTTCTGTGACTAACTTCTTTACTGCTCAATATCTCTTGACTATTTCCTGTTGGTGTAACTGAAGTCCATCTCATTCTTGAGCATACCAGTTTAGCGCACACACATTCACTAATACATATAATGTTAAAATTTCAAGTAAAACTATGATATTAAAGTAAATAACATAACCTTATATGAAGGTGGGGAGGGGTGGTAAAGTGAATTGATAAAAATCAAGAGAATGTGAAAGTGAGTGCTTTGTATGATGATATGGTATGTGGAGTGCCATGTGTGTTGTGGGGAAAGCCAAGGGCATTGATACCGTGGGGAAAAAAGGCATCCTTTATGTGCTTCACTGTCCTTAAGGTATTAATAATTCAAAAAGAAAGACTGATAAACTATGACATTAGGAAAGCAAGAGGTGGCTTGGTCCAGAGGATGCCAGTTTGTGTCAGAGAAAACTGTTTGAATGGAAATGAGGATCTGAAATGGAGTTCATCTCCCAGCAGAGAGAATACTACCCTATGAAGTAAGGGCTTTTTATCATCCCTAGGAGCTTACAGATAAAAGCTGATCCAATGTAGACAAGTTAAGAAGGTACTCAAGAAGAAGTAGGAGGGCCATTGGTATCATTCAGCTTGTGTGTTCTTAAGCACTGTTCGCCTCTTCATGTATGATTTGTCAACAACCTACTTCGTCTAACTCACTACTAATTTACTCAATTAATTTTAGAAGTTACTGCCTCCAGGAAGCCTTCCTTGCTTGGAGGAGGTATTCTCATACAACTTTTAAATGAACCTCTTGAAAGCAAGCCAGCTCATGAAATGGGAAGTCACCAAATGCACCAATCTGTCAACAGTTTGTTTAAGAAGCAATTTTCTTGACTATATCCATTGACTGACTTTAGACTGTATTAAGCTAGCTAGTAATATTGTCATTTATTAATATACTACATATTTACATAAGCTCAATAAAAAATTATTTGGTTCATGTGAAAACTTGCAATTTTAATTTTTCTTCTTTTAAACTTTAATGGTTTTCAGTGAAAAACATTACCAAATAAAACATTACCAATTAAAAATTGTTTATCACTGAAAAACATCAAACATTTAAAATTTTTCTTTGTCAAATTTGTTGAATTCCCACACTTACGAAAAAGCTTGCTTTAGTTTACTAACAAATTTTCTAGAAGATAATATTTCATAAAATTGTTTTCAAAACCTTTGAAATCAATTTGGTTATAGCTTTTGTTCATCAGTTTTTTGATCTCAAGAATGTTAAAAAAATTGCCTCTGAAATTCTGGATTTGAGGTTAAGTAACAAATAACTGTATATTCAATCATCTCAATTCTATACTGGATACTGGTTAACATACTTTGATCCTAAAATGTACTTTTGCTTTGCTCCATAATTGATCCTGAGGCAATGTCAGGAGAAGCTAGGGTCACAGCAGGGCATATCTATTCCCTACATTTCTATGTCCCCTAACCTGACTCTTAAAATGAAGATTCTAGATTATTTGAGGAATCCACAGTTCTGCAAAGCAGTATATTAGGAAGAAAAACCTTTAAGTGCAGAATGGCAGAAAGGACAAGCTCCTGAGTTCTTGCTGTCTTATTCTTCCCTTTGATTACATCAGCACAGAAGGCAACAAAGGAAATAAACCATTATTTTCAAAGCTTTTATCTTTTAGAGAAAAGGGATAGTACAGTGGGATAAATGTTTAGGGAAAGAAAGTGATGGAAAAACACTTTTTAAAAATCTGATCACTAAATTAAAATGGCTTTTGTCTCTCAAAAGTTATTCCTGTTATAACTGAAACTAACACAACTTTGTAAATCAACTATATTGCAATAAAACTTAAAAAAAAATTCTTTGGAAGGCAAGAAACTCACACAGCTTAATGCCAAATCTGGGCTCTAAGAAGAAACAACAATGTCTTTTGCGTGCTTTTCTTTTTGTTTTGAAGGACTCTTTTAATGCACATTAGCTGCAAATTGTCTAATGAGTTTTGAGATGTACGGCCTGCGTCTTTGTCTGAATCAAGACCAATGCTACTTATGTTCACCCTGCCCCTCAAAGTGAGAAGGAAAACATAGTTTTCATGAAAGATGGCAAATCTTTATTGATGCTCAAGGGTCATCCTGCCATTTCTGAAATTAACTGAGCTACCCCATGGGTTCCCAAACCACAGGAATTTGATTGTGTTACTGCTAAGTCTTGTTACCATGGCTCCCGACATATTCTGCTCTGGGCTCATTGTAAGGAGGTTACAAGTGTACTTGTAAGGCTAATTTGAGACTGATTTTTTTACCACCGGAAACTTCTATATACATATTTAACATTCTTGGCCACTTTAGGGATAAAAAAAGCTAAGTGGTATCATGCATATTTAATTGAGTGATCAGTAACATTATTAAAATTAGGTTAGCAAAATATAAAACCTCAAAGAGTGGCATAGGATTATTCATACAGTTTCTTGATGGATGTGATTTTTACAGTTTTAGTATTTTTACTGCACTCTTCCAAGTGATTATTCCTGTGCTCTTGAAACCAATGAGGTAACTGATGCCTTTAACCACATTAAGACATAAGAAAACACATGTTATTATGATTGATGTAAAAACAAACATCCTAATCTTACCTCAATCTCTCTCCGGGCTTGTGTTGCATTTCTGTCATGCTGGATGGGAATCAGAGGCAAACCTCCAATTTTGGGATTTTTGGTTATAGAACGTTTTCGTTCCTTTCCAGCTGGTGGCCATATATCATTTTCATGCTGTGGAAACACAATTTCTTGCTGTGGGTGTGTGACTTTATTATGTGGTCCACCAAGTTTATAGTCACTGGGCTCCTTTCCCATCTATCCAAGTCAGGTGATCTGCTTTTCACGAGAAGGTTGTTTGTAATTATGATGTTGATTCTCGTGGTAGCACCGCTTGACGATGTAAAACTCTTAAGTGAACTGAGCTTTGAGGTCTCAGTTCAATTTCTAAGCTTCAGAAATATGCCTTCTGTACTACTTATCAAACCAAAAGGGGGAAAATATTTACAGAAACCAGTAAATCTCTTTGTAGAAGAAAAATAATATACCTGTCTACATTTCTAGGCCCTGTAATCAAAATAACTACACATTCATTTTCTCTTACCACTGAAGATAACTTTCAGTGTCAAAATAATTTGACATTATATATACCCTCAAGTCAACCTAAGGCATGGCTAGCAGAAAAATTATCTTTATTTTATGACCTTCTGAAAAATGTTTCTTTTTCACCTAATTGAATTCCTAAGAAATGTTATCTTGTACACAAACATTTCTACTGAAAATCATTGTACAATAGAGAGTGTGACGTATTTGTGCTCAAATTGTTGACTACATATTCTGGCCAGTGAGCAATTATAGATATGACTGGAAAAAAGGTAATTTTGCAAAGGGGGTAAACACCCATGGGTAAAAATATAAGCTCTTGAATGATAAATCCTTAAGATACACATACAAAAGAAAAATCTTTTAAAGACTTTTTATACTCCTCAGGGTAGATTAATTTTTAGAAGCTGGGAGAAACAAATCGATTTTCAGACAGCAGTCTATGAAAGAAATACAAAATATCAACCACACACAATGAGAAGTTTACAGATGTTATGATGAAATGAAAACCATCTGGTAAACCATATAGCTAAATGCCTACTCATTCTTTTCCTCTACTCAAGACTGAAGAGAGTCATATTCTTATGTTGCAATTAGTATTTTAATGTCGTGTTTTATAGCAAAAGAACTATTTCAACAAACTTTATACTCACTATAAAACAGCAGCTAAGTTATATTGAAGGGCATTCTGCTATACTTTGTGCTTACCAATATACAAATATTATCTCATCCCGTCCGTAAGGATCCTACAGTGTATGTCCTGTCATTAGCAGTTATTGCCTTGGCATCAAATCTACCCTTGAGTGTCAGTGGAGTGCTTACTTTGGTTCAGCAAATCTGCAATCGTTATGCAATATTTCAATCAGAAAGTTACAAGTTTCATATTTTTATATCACAGTCTTAAACTCGGTAAAACAACTCATATTACAGAATTGGGACATTCCCAACATGTAAAGCTGGGAAAAAACGGACGGGAAGGAATTAGGTAAACTCGGTAAAACAACTCATATTACAGAATTAAGACATTCCCAACATGTAAAGCTGGGAAAAAACAGATGGGAAGGAATTAGGTAACCCTATGAATGAAGGCCTAGGCTTTTACTGACTGGTGTATAGTATATGTATTAAATGGTATTGCAAGAAATCTAAGAGCAAATGTAGTTTCTAAACACATTATTTTTTCTGACATGATATATATATATATATAATGCTGTGAATACTGGCTAATTAGTTCTCACTGGGTTCATCCAAGAGGTAGCAATATTTTTCCCACCATAAATCTTAAGACATAAGTAATATGTTCTGATAACATTTATAGTTATGTATAAGTGGCTTCAAAAAATCATATTTCATGGAGCATACAGATGAGGATCTCATTATTATAACCAGTGATCACACCCTCAAATCTTCATTCCTGCCTCTAACTTTCTTTTATAATTTTCCTCCATGGCTTTACTGAGGTATAATTGACAAATAAAAGATGTTTAAAGTGTACGGCATGATGACTACATGCATACACTGTGAAAGGATTCACCCCATCGAGTTAACCAACACATTCATCACCTCACATATGTATTTACCCCCACCCCCCAACTGCCTTTTTGGTTAGAATATTTGAGTTCTATTCTCTTAGAAAATTTAATACAGTGTTATGAATGGCACTCACCATGTCACCTATTAGATCCTCAGATTTTATTCATCATGTATCCAAAAGTATATACCCTTTCACCAACCTTACTCCCTACCCCCCCCACACATCCCCTGGCAACCACTGTCATATTCTATGAGTTTGACTTTTATATCGGATACCATGCAATAATTGTCTGGCTTAAATCATTTAGCATAATGCCTTCCAGGTTCATTCATATTGTCCCAAATGATAGATTTCCTTCTTTAGGGATGAATAATATTCCACTATATATATGTATGAATACATTCTTTATCCATTCATCCATCCATAGGTTATTCCCATACTATGCCTATGGTGAATAATGCTGCCATTAACAAGGTTCTGCCTCTCAATTTCTGACCTTGGCATCTTTCCAGATAACTTAGTTTAGCTTCATTCACTCTGAATATACCTTAGACTTCTTCAGACCTTCTATCCATTCTACTTTTCACGTTTTTTCCCACTTCTTTAACAGTCTGGCTTAGATTTCATGGTCAATCAGTATACTCACATCCTTATAAATCAAGGCTGGGCTGCTTCTCCTGTCACACTTGCCTGATAAAACCCCAAGCATAGTAAAACCCAATTCTACTTACTCTGTGGGTACCTCCAAATTGATGGAGGCAAAAAAAGAATAGACCAGTCTAGAGATTCATTTCACTTTAAACTTATCCTAAAATTTCAAATGAGCCTTCAGCACTCCCTGGACATTCTTCTATAGTACAACTAGCTTCCTCACTCTCTGAAGGTAATTTCTCACCTTTTATTTTGTCTCTGTATATGTAATATCCCTCCCAGACTCACATGTGGTGACCTCACTGATACAATTGAAAAATTATTAGTAATCATTCAATTTCATTTCCCCACCATGAGATGTACCAATCTCTCTGCATCTCTAGCCATATAAACAAGGCTTCCTTCCCTTCCAATAACTATTTCCTCTGATTATAAATAACTCTTCCCCAGTCATATCTATAATTGCAGTGGGTCAGAATATATAGTCAACAATCCGAGAACAAATATGTCACACACTCTGTTGTATAATGAATTTTTTCTGCAGTGATGAACACATGCAGTTGCTCACATTGCTTCACATCTGCTCAAGGCCCCTGCTGCTTTAATATTCTCTCCTTTGATTCCTTGATAGAATTCTCTGCACCTATCACCTGGTTTTCCTGCTTTCTCAAAGCTACTCATTTCTTTTACTCAATTTTTCTCTTCTGTTCGACCTTTAAAGTTTGGGATGTCCTAGGGCTTATTTGTCTGTCCTCCCTCTCTTGCTACAGCCCTCCTCGCTCCAATTTTGTATTCTAATTCTCTCTGTATAGTCTCTCATCTCACTGGATCCTCTCATGGCATTTAATATAATCTAAATGCTGACTTCTGTCAAATTTACATTTCAGCCCCAAAGTTTTGCCTGAATTTTTGATCCATACATCTAAACCTGCTATTCAGCGTATCCATTTGTATGTCCAATGCACATCTCAAATTTCATGTGGCCCAAATAGAACTCTGTCTTCTTCTGTACTTCTGATAATATCACTTGCATTCACCAGCTGCCAGAGGCCAAACAACTAGGACTCTTTATTTCTACTACTCTCAAGCTGTATAGCTGATCAATTTGTAAGACTTATTGGCTCCACCTTCAAATATTCCTGAATCTGAGTATGTCTTACCAGACCCCCTGATACCTAATCTGAGCTGCTGTCTTCCACATGGCTGTTCTTCCTGCTTCCATCTTTGACCCCTGAAGTGCAGCTCAGCAAAGGAACCATAATTACTTTTTTCCCGTAATAAGAGCTGATTATATCTTTCCCTTGTTTCCCAATAAAACTCCTAAACTGTGTCTACGTCATCTGTCCCCTGCCTTCCTCATCTCTTATGTCCTCTCCAAGATAGGCTTTCCTGATGTTCATGGAATAAGTCAAGATTATGTCCTTGCTGGCCCCACCCCCTGGAATGTTCTGACTGTCCTGCATACTTGGCTTCCTTATTTCACACAGGTCTCAGCACACCTGTCAGCTACTCAGAAAGGTGTCCCCTGAGACTCCTTCTCAGTTAATGTCCTCCTTACGTCAGTCACACTGGTTTTCCTTTCCCTACACTAATATCTATTTGAAATTTTACCTGATTATTCTCTTTACTAGCTTAGAATACTAACTTGAGCATGTACTTTGTAAGATGTACTGGATCCTGTGATGCAGATACACATGTAGTTCTAGTAAGACTGAGTCCTTCCTGTCGTGGGGTTTACATTTTAGTAGGAAGGACAGAGATAAAAAACTTAAATACACAAATGCTTTTCAGTTAGTATTACAATGTTTAACTCCAGGATGCTGAGGGTTCCTACAGCTCTAAGGTCTGACTGGTCTGAAGGTCAGGGAAGGTTTTTTTCTGAAGCTGTGACAGGTAAGCTGAAGACTTTTGTTGAGGCAGGGGTGAGAGTGGGGATGGATATTAGGAAAGTATTCTGGGCACGAGAAAGAACTCATTGTTCACTGTTGGGTTTCGTGTGTGTGTATTAACATATATATTAACGTTTGCTACATTCCTGTCTTTCCCCGTGGAGGTGAACCATTAAATCCTCAAATCCAAAAGGACCTTTGTGTTTACCTTAGTCCTAAGAAGTGGAATGAACTGAAGAAATGTAATTGGACTGGGGCCAGCGAGGCAAGGAGAAATAAGTTGGTGGTGAGAGCAACCTCGGTTTCCTGGCTCTTTACACCTTGATTTTCAACTACAGCATCTAATGACTTCAGTCATAAAAACAAAAACATCAATTCAGTTGTGCCATAACCAGATACTGTAACAGTGTTAGACTCTGTGGTTCTAATTTTACTGTTACTTCAAGCCTTCTTTCTTTAAAGTAGGACTTGAATATCTAAATTTTTAAAACAGTCACAAAAAAAGAAAAGGCTCTAAAAAGTTAGCCACTGGACTTTTTCTGGAAATGTATTCCCAGGTAGTAGTAGTAGAGTCAGGCTGAGAAAAGCAGTGTTTATTAACCACTGGAAAGGTTAATAAATTAAATGAACAGAGAAAATGGTTTTCAAAACAAATAATGACAAGATTTGAGGGTGAATTAACTTCTCACTTGTAAGAGAAACAGGGAAGCACACCCTTGGTAATGAAGAGTGGCAACTTAATCGTTACCAGTGAATTTCAATGCTGGGGAAGCACTGCTGGGAGTCTGGCCAGACAAGGTTGGGGAAGAAACCAGTCCTATTAATGGGACTATTTTATCCTTCACTGCAGGAGTGAGTCCTCCAGTAGGGAGGAGACTAAATGGGAAACTGAGGGTAAGTGTTGGCCTCTGGGTTAAACCACTAACTAAATGTATGGTCCTAAGCAAATCATGGGGCCTTTTGGAAACTTTTGTTGTCTTATCTATAAGCAGCGTCATGCACAATTTGTCGTGAGGAAAATACATGGATACCAAGGGGGAAATGAGGGTGGGTTGGAGCGGCATGGGAGAATTAAGAGATTGGGATTGCCGCATATGCACGAGTTGACTGTGTGTAGAGGAGATAACTAATGAGAACATCGTGGACCGCAGAGGGGACTCTACTCAATGCACTGTGGGGCCTGAACGGGCAGGGAGCCCACGAGGGGGAGAGTGTATATATGGCGATTAACTTTGCTATAGTGGAGACTAGCGCACATTGTAAAGCAACTATCCTCTAATAAAATTGGGAAAAATGAACAGAACACACTTTCTAAACACAGATCCAGTGGGACTCTGAAGGACAAGAGCTCAGACAAGCCCCGCTTTCTTATGCCACCATCTTGAAGCCAGACGCCGCCCCAAGCTGAGGAGCCGCTGGGCTGGGGAAAAAAGATGCCTCGACAAAGAGTAAACTCTATCTTATAGAGTAGTGGGTAAATCTGGGTCCTTGTGTATTTAAAAAATCATGAATGAGAAAACAAAAGACTCATTAAAAATTCTTTGAAAACTAACATTTCCTATAAACAGTTGTCACACTTCACTAGATAGTTGAAATAGGTATCATACCTGGGCAATAAAGATATTGGCCATCCACTCCGTTTGAGTTTGTGAACTCTCACAACACAGGTGCCTGTAAGACAAGGTTTATAAAATATATAATTCAAAAGGACAAAGGAATTTTCCAGTGTATTTATTTGGCAAGTAAGTGATTAAGTGATCAGAAATCTCTTTGGCTTTCTCCCAATTAATGACATAATGCAATAAAAATGGAAGTATTTCAGTATAAGTTGCTTCAGGATTCTGCTATCAAAACAGTAGTATAAATATGCTAGTTTAACCAAAATATAGCTAAAGGCTTTGATAACTGCCAAAAAATGATAAGCGGTATTTTTTGGAAATGCAGAAAGGTCAGTGTCATTTGTTTTTTCAGGTACATGATGGTAAAAGATGTTTTTACCCAGAAACTGAGCCTAAGAAAAAAAAATGTGTATATTTTCTTAAGAGCAAATTTTTTAGACAGTCACAGTCCATGTGATTATAAACATTAATACCCAACAAGACTCATGAAAAATGAGCTAAATGAAAAAAAAAAACCACTTCATGTACAATAACACTGATTCAGTAACCTACTGAAAACCTACACAAAACAGAGGTCTTGCCTTTAAGGTTAGCATAGTCTATTAGGAAAGGCAGGAAAGTAAACAAACCATAACACAGTGAGGGAAAAAAAAATGTCAAGTTGAACACAAACACAGAAACAGCACAATTGGGGATGAGGTGGAAAATCTTGTAACTGATGTTAGAATTTCAAAGTAGTTATTTTTATACCCTTATTAATAATTTAGAAAAATGTTAGAATGAAACTTCTAAAAATAATCCTTGCTTCTTCCATTAGATTTTCATGAAGACAGTGTCCCTTCCTATTGCCATGTCCAAGAAACCTGTTCCCTCTACAAATCATGTTAGTTATGGATCCACCAGCACAAAATACCATAGATGTAAAGAAGAAATAAATGGATTAGAAAGGAGAGTTATCTGATAAGACTTTCTCCCTCATTTCAGCTATGGTTTGAATAAAAAGTGACAGCTGAGTCTGCCAGATCAGCAGGAAGAAGATAAAAGTGATGAGGGAAGGGGGAGCATACACTATGGAAGAAGGTATAGTGAAGACAGCACGGATATTAAACATATGATATGAAGCAGCAAGGCATGTACAGTGAATTAAAAATGGATTGTTTTATCATTAAGTAAAAATGTGGGAAAGTCACGGGAGATACATATTAAAGGACTTAGTATGCTGTGCCAACAACCCTATACTTTACCCTACTTTTTAGGATTCACAGATGAGTTAAAGCAGAAAATAAATATGATACATTTTAGAAAATCTCTTCAGTTCTGGGTGGAGAATGTGTTGGAAACAAAAATCAAAGTCAGAGGCATGAAGAGCACTTAAGACTCCTGGACTGATCCAGGCAGCTGGATGAAGGCTCCAAAGATAGAGGGTATGGGTGGATCAGAGAATTAAGAGGCAGATCTGGTATGGATTAGACACAGGGAGATAGGAGACATCTAGTCCAATCTCTGAGCGTGGCTAGATCCCGGTGACATCAATGGAAAGAAGTACTCTACAGAAAGAACTGGTTTGAAGCCAAGGTCTTTTCTTTAAATTTAAGTTTTAGAGAGTTCTTATCCTTAATTTAAAACTGAATTTTGTCTGCTTATCCCTTAAAACCAGAGATTACACATTTATATAATAACTAGTAAGAAATCATGTGTAGTTTTTCTTGAAGTGTTGGCAAATAAGATACATGAGACTTAAATAGACCTAAACCCTGAAGCAAATCTCGTATTCTCTTTTTAGGCTCAAGGTATTTAGAAAAGAGTTTAACTTCACTTAAAAGAAATGTTTCTTGTCTCTAGATCTGTCTGTCAAATAATAACATTATTTACTGTTGTTATCATCAATGTATCAAATCCAAAATCTGTTAGCTGTTAACTTACCAGTGATGTTTTTCAGAATATGCTGTCAATCCCCAGCTGCATCATATGGGGGGAAAAAGAAACACATATACATATTAAAAATGATCCATTTTACAAGATAATACACAGGATGAAATTTTAAGGAGGTAATATTTAATGGTGGGAAAGCATAACAGAATTGATATCCACAAGTGATGATTCGCTGGGTATGATACATCTAGAGATAAATGATGGATATTGAGGGATTTGGCTATAAAATTATAGATATGTTGAAAGAACACAGGGGGAAAGGGTCTCATGATGTTATGAGGCAGTGGGGATATTCTGGGCTGAGTAAGGACAGATGTCTAGAAAAATGGCCAAAATAAAATGCACATACTGACTTATTGATATTGTGAGAAATTTGAAAGAATGTACCAGTCACAACACAGATACATGTGCTGGGCTAAGAAATTAAGCACAGAGGCAAAAGTGAGTACATTTTCAGTAATACAATCTGAAATCATATACAGTTCATTAAAATGATGTTTCGTGATATTAAAAGTATTAGTACAAACTTTAATTAGCTAATCAAAGTAATCCGTGATGAATAAGTATGGTATAACTCAAATGCTGGGTTGGTTCAAGTGCTAGTGAGAAGCATGATGTTTAAAGAGTGCACTTTCTACCACCCATGTGCTGTGAGTTTATTACCAAGTTCAGTAAAACAAAGAGGGCAAATTATAGAGCCAGGACCAAGATGTCCTAAAAGCAACAAATATCATATATTAATTCATATGTATGGAATCTAGAAAAACAGTATTGATGAACCCGTTTATGAAGAAGAAATGGAGACACAGATGTAGAGAACGGACTGGTGGACACAGCAGGGGAAGGAAGGACAGATTGAGGAAGGAATATTAACATATATCCACTATCATGTGAGAAACAGACAACTAGTGGGAAGCTGCTATGTAACACGGTGAGCCAGCCTGGAACTCTGTGGCAGCCTAGAGGCATAGCATGGGAAAAGGAAATATATATATATATGTATTTCTGATTCACGTTGATATATGGCAGAAACCCCCACAACATTGTAAAGCAATTATCCACCAGGGGAAAAAAAAAAAGCCAAGAAGGATGGAGGGCAGCACTTTTCTTCCTCTGGGTAGACTGACCGACTGACTGACGGAATATTCTGTGCCTGAGCAGAGAATGGGATGTGGAGAAACCCAGGTACTTCCCAGTCCTGAGGGCCTTCTGCGGATTTCTCGTTCTACACAGAGGAGATGCAGTTCCCCAGGAGCTTGACTTGAGTGGAAACATCATCATCTCTCCATATCCACCCATCCAGGTCCCCTGCCACATGTTCGTGGCAGCCTAAGGAATCTAAGGCTTAGCTTATAAAGAGTCAGACTAATGCCATTGATCCCTAAATCCTTGGACAGGTTTTCCTGTAACTTTTTCAACAGCTCTGCCCTTCCAAACTTTACCTTGTTGGAGGCTTCATCTTCTTTTTCACTCCAAGATAAAACTTCACAGAACTGAGAGAAAACATTTTATCAGGTTTGCTACTCTGTAAAGGAAAACAAAATAATTTGAAATTAAACAGATTTTATAAATGTCCTTTTATTTTCCTTGAGTATTAAGAATAGAATTTAGAATGTTTAGTTTCACAAATGTTTCATGAATGTCATACCAAATTTTTGGTAAATGAAGATTGTGTTGGTTACAATGTTGTAAATTGAAATAAATGATCCTGGATATATATGTATGATTATATATGTGTGCATGTGTGTGTACAAACACACACAGTAATTCCTTATTCAAAACACTTGGGAGTTATGAGAACTGATGATAGTTTTTTTTTCGTATTTAAAAAATACATATGCGGTATATTTTGTAACTCCACGATATCATCAGTGTTGCTTGGGGTAGCACCACCCTATATTCAAATAGATTCATATTTCTCTGCAAAAGTGCATGAAATTTCATATGATGTGAATAAGTAAAGGCCATAAGTATTGTTATGGTCTGGATGTTCATATCACCCCCAAACTGAAATATAATCTACAGCATGAAGGTATTTGGAGGTGATGGTTTTCGGTGGTTAATAAAGTCATGAGATTAATTCTGTTTTCACCCCATGAGGATATGAGAAGTGGGCAGTCTACAATCTGGAAGAAGATTCTAACTAGAACCTGACCACACTGGCACCCTAATCTCAGGCCCTCGGCCTCTGGAACTGGAGAAATAAATTTCTATTTTTATAAGCCACCCAGTCTATGGTAGTTAGCCTGAACAGACTAAGACAAATATCTTCATCTTGGTGCAGGTCAGGTTTTGCTACCAAGTGAGTTATGATTTTCTATACTTTTTGGATTTTGGAACTACAAATCTATGTAGGCATAGACTATTTCAAATATGCATATTGAAAATTTCACTAATAACTCACAAAAGGAGAATTAAAAAATATACATTTGCTTTTATATCAGTTATATATTTTCTGTACACATCCCAACATGGTTATCTGATTAATATGAAAAAATTCAAATCCTTAAACCATCAGGAAAAGTATCTGACAGAGGCAAAACTTAAATCATTATATTCTAATGTAATATCAAAGCAGATACATATATTATTGTTGAATAGCCTGCAATAGATTTTATAAAGATAATAGCCATGAAAATAATACTTAGAAAAAGCTTTCCTAATATCCTAAAAATTTTCAAGGAAATCACTTTTTTCAACCTGGTAGGCAGGGGGTCTTGGGTCAGAGACCTGGGTGCAAATCTGGCTTGCTACCTACTAGCTTACCCTCTCATTACTGCTCTCTGCTCTTGTATGTTACTTGTAAACAGGAATAATAAATATACTATCTCATAGAGTTATTATGAAGATTAAATGATAAAGGGTTACTGTGAAGGGTTATTGTACAAAGTAAATAAGAAAAGTGCTTTTAAAGAGTTTAGTCCAGTAAATGGCCAAATACTAAGGGCACAGCAAATTACAGCTATTATTACAAATTTAGAACACATTGCTTCATAGAAATCGATAGATAGACAAGTTGTTAGAGCCCTATATAGCTCAAATCAGTCTTAAGTTTTGTAAAAGTTAAACTATTACTATAGTCTTTTTCTTATGAAAGCAGTTGAATTTGAAAGCGTAAAGGGTGGAAAATATGGCAATTTTTATAAAATTTTTATAAAATTAAAAATTGGTTTCTATGGAGAAAACAGGTTAGCAGAATGCAGAGGAAATGTAGAGAAAAAAGTGAGCAGGAAGAAGATCATGGATAATGCTCTGGTGACCAGTCTTCTCTGTGGCAGCGATGATAAGGCTTGAAATTTACATGGTGAATTTATCCCTAGTCACCCTTATCACTGAGTTTGCTATTATCATGGCACATAATTTAAAAATACTTTGGTTCCCCCTGCCCCCCCCGTATGGCTAGATTTCTTGAAATGGTATCACAGGGTCAAAGGCTAGGAACATGATTAAGAATAAGATTTTGCAAAATTGATAGGGTATATTTACTTACAGTTAAATGTATATTTCTGCATTTGCTAGCAGTTTTCAGTTTTGACTTGATGAACAATTTATCCATTTATTTATGCATTTACTTATTGACATTAGTTCTTTACCAAGTAGGAAATTGCCTTATCTTTTTAAATGAAATAGTCTACACTAATTGGTCACTGTTTACTTTTATTTTTATAAAGTCAAGTATGTTGATCTCTTTTGAACTATTGCTTCCAGTTTAAAGGGTTCCCACATAGCTGATAAATACTCAGTTGCATAGCCATGGAACTTGAAGGACTGCTATTTGTCAAGTTTTAATTCTTTTATCAATCTGGTATATTTTACACACAGAACAGATGAGAATTTAAGTTGAAAAATTTTTGTTAACAATTGGGCTTCCCTGGTGGCTCAGAGGTAAAGAATCCACCTGCCCAGGCAGGAGACTGTGCGCAGGAGACTATGCAGGAGACACAAGTTCGATGCCAGGATCAGGAAGGTCCCCTGGAGAAGGAAATGGCAACCCACTCCAGTATCCTTGCCTGGGAAATGCCTGGGCAGAGGAGCCTGGCAGGCTCCAGTCCATAGGGTCGCAAAGAGTCAGATATGACTTAGCCACTGAACAACAAAACAACTTATTATAATAAACTTTCTTTGGACATGCATTTATGACATAGTTATCAAAACAATTATGATAAACAATTACATTTTTTTACCTCACTTTATGTTACCATTGCTATCTCTGTTCATTTTTATGCTACAATATGATCTTATTTTAGTTTTATTGTATGAATAAACAGTTGGGTGCAAAATACTTGACAGTCATTTTACCTTTTATATCTCTCAAATGTTTGCAAGTATTCCTATCTGTTTACCCTTTGAGATGAGCTGTCAAATCATTTGTTGCAAGTTCTAAAAGTTACTCTCTTTGGGATTTTGAAAACATTAATTTAATTACATTAAACCTACAGATCAATATTAGTAGACTTTACATTAATTTTCACCCATTTCTATTAGTGTAGTTCTGTAGCTTTCTTCATGTCAGCCTCTTCTTGTTAATGTCATTTTTCTGGCAATTTATGTGTTGGTTTTGGGATATTGGTATTTTAGTCTGCTACTTTACTGAATATTAAGGAATAACACTTTAAGACTGATATGGAAGAGTGAGGTAGTTTTTTAAGGCAGTAGGTTTTCTACACGGGAAACAGTCAAGGAGAGGAGAAGATAGGCGTGTATAGGGTAGCAGAGACACCTTCCTCAGAGGTTCAGTCAGATTACAGCTGAGGTTCCCGTCCCTCCTCAGGGACGTGACTGCTTAGACTGCTGGTCCCTTGGGCTCATCCCAGTGGAGGCAGCAGCAGAGCCAGGCGAGAGGCTGCAATTCCGGCAGGACAGGTGAGAAGGGATCTGCACGTCTGAGAATGAGAAGCATTTGTGTCTGATCCAGGTGCGTGCCTATGTGTGCTCGGTCGCTCCGCTGTGTCTGACTCCTTGCGACCCCATGAACTGTAACCCACCAGGATCCTCTGTCCATGGAGAGTCTCCAGGCAAGAATACTGGAACAGGTTGTCATGCCTTCCTGCAGGGGCGCTTCCCAACCCAGGGATCAACCTGGATCTCCTGTGTCTCCTAACTTGGCAGGGAGATTCTTTACCTCTGCACGAGCAGTCTTATTTATACTGGACATTGGTAAGCCCAGGTCTGCCTACATTTTCAAATACTGTTGGCAATAGATTCAGAGTCTGCAGTGATACAACTGATTGCCAAGCCATTCTGGACACTCGAGCTCATTACTTTATGTTCCATCTTGTGCAGAGAACACAGATGACATAATTTGAGGGGAGTTCAGCCATGGTTGAAAGAAACCCTTTTCAGTTTCAGTCTTCAAAATGAATAAGCATAAGCAGGACCTGTTAGGATCCTAATACAAAGTTTTTTAAAAGAAATCTCATTTACTGTGATAACTTTACTATTAGTTTATTACAACTCTTTCAGTATGTGTGCTTTCTGGAGAATTTCTTCAAAAAGTTCAAGTGTTATATAAAGTATGTAATATGTTGCTTCAGGCACTGTATTTCAAAGTAAAATTTTTAATTGAACCAATTAAATTAGTGTGCTTAAAAAATTATCCTTGTTACTAAGAAGAATTTGCTTATTAGTGCATGTAACTTTTAACATCCATCCCCTCCCCATTTGCTTTTTTTTTTTCACACCATTAACAGTGTAATGGTAATATTCTTTGAAACTTCTCACCTTTTATGTAAATCAAGTCTGAAAACATTTTAATTAATATTTTCTGTGCAGGAAAAACTCAAAATATATCTCCCCCTGTGTATTACTCTAATTTGTTGTTAATGAGCATTCATAAATTATCTCTAATTAACACATAGTCTCTTTAAATATACTTTTCAATTTGTAATTTCTGCTCCCTTCTCAGTAAATCATTTTCTAAATATATACAAGCACACATATATTAAGGGCAACTGTCAAAACCAGAGCCAAATCTGTATTCAGATAAGTTTGAGGATTTTTACTATTGATTATTCACTGTAAACTCATTTGAAAAGCAAACATTGCCGATGACTTGGACATCAATATTAAAAGTGAAAGACCAACAAAATGCAGAAATAACCAACAAAATAACACCATATGTTGAAAATAATAGTGGTTTGAGTTTAAAGGAAAACCATAAGTCCCTCATCTGCCTGCTTTACTGTGCAAATGAAACTATCAGTTGCTTTAATTGATTCTGACAGATGCATAAAGGCAACTTTCAAACAGTTAACACTATAATTCCATGACCTGAGGTCACTGTGATAGAAACAAAATGTGTTCCGTGTCTTTAAAGAACACTCTTTCTGAGAGAGACTATATGATCTCATCTACATGTAACTGAACAGAATCTAAAAAAGTCAGACTCACAAAGAAGCGGGCAGTAGAACGGTGGTTTCCAGGGGCTGGGACTGAGAGAAATGGGAAAGTGTTGATAAGTGGGTACTAAGTTTCAGTTATGCAGAAAGAATAGGTCCTCGAAATCTAAGTATGGCATGGTGACAACAGTTAATAGCACTGTATTGTATACTTGAAACTTGCGAAGAGAGTAGATCTTAAATGTTCTTACCACAAATACACACTAAACTATATGAGGTAATGACTATTAATTCATTAATTAATTAGCTTAGATTGTGGTATACATATACATATACAATGTATATGTATATCAAAAGCATCATATTTTTATAATTAATGCAATTTTTATTAATTATACTTCAATAAACATGGGGAAAGTATTTCAGATGTCAAAAACAAAAGAACTTCTTTCAGACGAGCACTCAGACCTACTACTGTCTACCAATTTGTATGAATTACTTTAGATTAAGCAGAATGATCCTTTCAAAAAGATACATATTCTTAAAAATCATTCTGTTAAGGGATGAGATTCTTTAACTCAATTATAAAGTCATTTCATCTAAAAAAAATAATATCTCCATGTACAGGCTTCCTTGTGGCAGATTTGTAAATTTACACCAGCTTGGGGAAAAACATAAGAAACTGAACTGTATGAAGTGTCATATTTGAAAATACTTGGTACTATTTAAATGAAAAACACTATCCTCTTTAAGTAAAATTCTGTCAGAAAAAACATCAGGCTAAAATAATACAAATGTTTTTCTTTAGTGAGTCCATGCATAAAACCTTTAGAATTAGACACCAGGGAGTGAATTCTGACTCTATGACTTACTGGCTATGTGATCCTGAGCAAGTTATGTAATACCTTGGTAGAGTCCATTTCTTCATCTGTCAAGGGAGATAATTATAGTACTACTTTTATAGGATTATTGAAAATATAAAGTGAGAAAAGTGAAATGTACAGAACTCTGCTTTTTGTGGATTAACCACTTGAATGTTCGTTGGGGCCGTTATGACTGCACTGCTATTGATACTAGTGGTTTTTAGAACCATCTGTTGCTACACAGTGGGAGTGTCAGTTTCTTAATGAAACTAAAAAGTCCAGGATGATTTCAAAGTACACTAAGTAGATATCCAACTACAAAGGTGACCATTAACCAACATATAAATGGAAGGAACGGGATGAAGGAAATGAGTCTAAGGAAGATGAAGGTGGATGACTCAACTGAAGAAACCCAAACAGAATTCAACCAGATTCAGTTCTTAGATGGCTGGAACTTCAGTTGTGAGGTCTAGCATTTCCTTTCACAAACACAAACCTACAGTTCATGAACTTTAAAATGTGATGAGTTGGGGGCTTCCTGGGTGGTCTAGTGGTTGAGAATCCACCCACCAGTATGGAGGACACAGGTTCGATTCCTAGTTCGGGAGGATCCCACATGCCACAGAGCAACTAAGCGTTTGTGCCACAACCACTGAGCCAGCGCCCTGGAACTCACGAGCCTCAACTGTTGAGCCCACACGCCACTACTGTCCAGGCCCGAGCATCTAGAGCCTGTGCTTGGCAACAAGAGAAGCCGCCACAGTGAGAATCCTGCGTACAACTAGAGAAAGCTCACACAGCAACGAAGACCCAGCACAAAAGCAATAAATCAATCTTTAAAAAAATGTGATGTGTTTGTTTCACGTAACTTAGAATTCTTAAGTGCCTTATTTCTGCAAACTTCACTCTTCCTGCACTGAAGAATGTGAATAATGATATCAAACAATAATAAATGATAACAATCACTTGATACCTACACAGACTCCCCACCAACTCTATCAGCAGGAACAGCAATGTAGGATTTCCAGTATATAATACAGCTCTTGGAAGAGAGGGATAAGGGCTGCAGAATTCAATGCTGTTTTGTTAGCTCTCTGCCTGGACATCCTGCTGTCCTTGAAGAATATGAACATTAAATGGATACACAAAGTAGGAGGCTAAGATTTATTTATGCCCACCTGAAGGCTTCCTTGCTGGAGGAACATATAAGACAGTGGTCAGTGTGTGGAGAGCTCAATAAAAGCCACAGCAAAATGGGGCTGTGTAACTTTGGAAAGCTATTTAATAACTCTTCCTTCATAACAATATTAAATGACATGTTACTAGTCTGGTCCTTTTTTATAAATCTCCAAAACACAACAGAGTAAAGCACCATACACTTGAAGTATGCAAGCAGTGTTTATTCAAGTGAATTTTATAATTCAGTGGAAAAAGTATCTTTGGGTCCTGTGGTTACTCCACATTCAAAATAACTGCTTGGATATTGCTTGAATCTCAAGGAAGTAGAGATGTTACTATATATACCCATGTAACAACCACCCAAAACACTTATTTCTGTCATCCTAGAAAATACCCTACTGACTGTATCTCTGTGCTTCTGTAGCAATGTTACTCCATACCCCAGGCAAACACTTTCTGACTGTTATCACCATAGAGGATTCTGCCTCTCTTTGGAACGCTTATGGATAGACTCATATGGTACTATTTTGTGTCAAACTGTTTTCACTCAAAAATGATTTGAAGATCCTCCCATGTTGCTACATTCATCAATTTTATTGCTGAGCAGCATTCTGTTGTCTGAATATGTCATTCTCCCATTGATGGACATTTGGAATGTTGCCAGGTTTTAGCTTTTATGAATAAAGCTGTTTATGAATAGTCTTGAAAAAGTGCTCTAGGAACAGAGTTGCTGAATCGTGAGTCAGAATGAATAACTGTTTTAAAAGCTGCCCAAAACTTCTACATAGTGACTATGTGATTTTACCTTTCTGCCAGCATCCCAGAGGTTGAATGCAGTTTATTTACTATAGGCCTTGAACACCAGGAGACAGGGCTTAGAGGTGTGAAATAAGAATGTTAACTCACACAAAAATATACACATATTCAACTAGTATATAAATAAATACCTTCAGATCCTTGTAAAGAAGGAGGTACCCATCTCGTAAAACACAATACCGATCTTGAAACTTATTTCCAGAGAGTATTTTAGATGGTTCTTCTTTGACTTTCAAGACTCCCTCTTTGATATTTTCCAGGGCCTTCCTCTCTGTAAAGTACAACATTTACTTTTGCAAGTTAAGTATATTTTCATTTATTTGGAATAGAATATAAAACATTTCTGTATTTTCAATTTTGATGATACAAAATAATAAATTCTTTCCTACAATTAAGAAGCCTCTAGTTAATTTTTGGGAACACTTTGTATCAGGGGAGTGTCATACAAGCTGCAGATCCAGTGACCAGATCTATTTATATCTCTTTATAATATACAGGCCTGCCTATGCTGTTCAGTTAGCTACTGGCTAATGAGCACCTGAAACACAGCTAGTCTCCACTGAGATGTGCTGTGAGTATAAGATATATACCATATTTTGAAAATTAGTACCTAGAAAGGTAAATATATTACAATTTTGTAGTACCAGAAGTGAAGTGAAGTGAAGTCGCTCAGTCCTGTCGACTCTTTGCGACCCTATGGACTATAGCCTACCAGGCCAGGCTCCTCCCTCCATGGGATTCTCCAGGCAACAGTACTGGAGTGGGTTGCCATTTCCTTCTCCATGTAGTACCAGAAAAGGTAAATATATCACAATTTTATAGTATTGATTACATGTTGGAATGATATTTTGGATATGTGAGTTTAACTAGAAGATATAAGTAAAATTAACTTCACCTACTTATATATATGTGTATTTATATATGTATATTTTAAATGTGGCTACTAAGTGATTTAAAATTGTATCATCAGGTTGCATTTTACTTCTTTGAATGAATAGCACTTATATAAACAATGCAAAATACACAGGTAAAAGAGAAATCTCTTCTGGAATTCTGACTCAGGCATTCAGTAATTCTTCAGACGTTAGAAAAATTCCTATATCTATGAAACAGGTAAGGGTAAATAAGGCAAAATGTCCGATAACACTTATGCAATGATGCGTCTACCACACTTGGAAATCATTTCAACAGTTCCATTAAAAACCACATTTTTGATAATAAAATCACATTGAATCTATAAATTTATCACTATATCTCCAGTTTACAACTTTCTTTTTGAAATCTCAACATTATTTCACTGTCTGCTTGAGAAACGAGGAACAAAGGAGAGAAAAGGAGCCTGAAGCCAAGCAGTCATGGCATGCTCATTCTGAGGTCAGCTCCTGCTCCTTCTGTAGAATAGGAGTAATGACATTTATCCTGCAGGCTGCTGTGGCCCGCACATTAGATGGTGTCCTCAAAAGATGTAGGGAGGGACACCACATCAGAATCCAGACCTTCAGCAATTTCCTGGTATTAAAGTGATGCAACTCTTAAATATTCACTCATAGTTTCTAAAATTTATAGGTAACTTGAATGATTTAGAAAAAGAACTTTTATTAGTTTTAAACCTAGCAATCCCTTGGTTAGGGAAAACCTTTACTCAAACAGTAAATAATACACAGATGTTCACAATTATAGTTAGTATAAGAAAACAAGTTAGAAAAATTTGAAAGTGCCCTATAACTCAGATATGAGTATGGGATGACAACCTGGAAGCAAAAATCAACACGTTGAGTCACTTCACTGATCTTAACCATAAACAAACAACAGTAGTTTTCATGATCTGCCTACTACCACAGATAACATTCTTTTAATCATGATGCCACACTAAAATAGGTTCTTTTAGGGAGTTTGTGATTTTAAAATAATTTCTGAAAAATACACTGCTAAAATTTGTCTTCTGGAACAATCTTTTAATAGTTAATTTCATAGAAAAAATATTTCAAGTAGTATTTTATAGCTAACTAGCTTCTATTTAAATTAAAAATAACACTTTTCCAATTAAGACTTGAAAGATTATTTTAATGCAATGAGAAAATAAAGGAAAAATATACATATAACTAGTGTTAAGCAAAATTCATATGACATCAGTTCATTTCTTCATGAAGTATTCAGACTCTAGTACGCATTTGATTCTAATTATATATAATATTACCCGAGGAGATGGTTTCTGGACTTGCAGTGCAGTGTTAGAGGCAGAGTAAACATAGGTTAATAAACAATGCTTATATATCCCGATAGGAGAAATACAGTAAGCAATTAGAAAACACTGGGTGGGCTTAGAGATTCAGCTGATTTCGAATAAGAAAGTGAAAGTGGAGAAAGATATTTATAATACGATTGATCTAGAAATAGGTAAAGTATTTTAAAAGCATTAAATTATAATCAAGTTGTAAGATACAGATGTTACATTTTGCTTAAGCCAAACCAATTCCATTCACACCTTCTGATTATACCTTAAGATTTTTGTTCAGTTTAATAAAGCTTTCTAATTTTACCAATAAGAAATAATCATATGTCTAGTGTTTAAGTAAACCACTCATAGGTCAAAAAGAAAATAGGCTTAGGAGAAAAACATTGTTGTCACCTTTGAGTGCATATTTATTAAAATTCATTTTAATAAACCATATGTAATTGAGTACGTACGGCTTCCCTGGGCTTCCCTGGTGGCTTAGTGGTAAATAGTCTGCCTGCAATGAGGAGACCCGGGTTCAATCCCTGGGTTGGGAAGATCCCCTGGAGAAGAAAATGGCAACCCACTCCAGCACCTTTGCCTGGAAAATCCCATGGACAGAGGAGCTTGGTGGGCTTCAGACCATGGGGTTACAAAGAGTTGGACGTGACTGAGCGACTTCACTCACTTCAAGTATTCTTGCCAGGAAAATTCTATGGACAGAGGAGCTTGGCAGGCTATAGGCCATGGGGTCACAAGAGTCAGCCATGACTTAATGACTAAACTACCACTACCAATTGAGTATCTTAGCTAAATCTTCACCTTCATTTTTTTCTTTGGCCACACTGCACAGCATTTGGAACTTCCCTGACTAGAGTTTGAACCCAAGTCCCCTGTGGTGGAAGTGTGGAGTCTTGACCACTAGGGAAGTCCTGTTAGCTAAATCTTGATGCATATATTATTAAGGGACTCATAAAGAAGGAAAGAGCAAAAAGAAACTTGAAATATAAAGTTCTATGATAAATATAGAGGGCCTAAAAGAATTTCTAAAAGCTCTCATGACAAAATTTCTGTATGCTCTAACAACGTTAAGATAAGCAATAAAATTATCCACCATTTAAGGGCCAAGATGAGACTATACATCTTGGGGACATAGTGCGTGACTCAGCGTGTAACATAACGAAGGGTATAAATTAAATGGCTTTCAACAATTCACTTTTCCAGACTTCTAGTACTACGTGGCCTCTCAATCATGGGGTACTTTGCTTTTATGTTTTCACTTTCTCGGCCTCATCCTGGGCAAAAAAAAAACTTACTAAGATCTAGGAAGCCTGGTGTGCTGCAGTTTATGGAGTCAGAAAGAGTTGGACATGATTTAGGAATTGAACAAAAGAATAATAACCAGAGAGTCAACCCCCTCCTGGTGTTTGCGAGGGCAAGAAAGGATCAGTAGGGGTTCAGTGCGGGTTCTTTAGAGTTAACCCTAGGTAAGAGAATAGACTGGTATACTTAGTTATATCAGGCTGTACTTCCGCTATTAATTAGAAAAGCCCTTGTATAAAACAACACAGAATGCTCAAATTTAGTTATTTAAACAGAACAGACATATTACTAGGATTATGAAACAGATGCCCCTCAAAAATACTTTTCCAAACCATTTGAAAACCTTAAGTTCTTACACTTTGCAATCCCATGGACTGTAGATTACCAGACTCCTCCGTCCATGGAATTTTCCAGGCCAGAGTACTGGAGTGGGTTGCCATTTCCTTCTCGAGCAGATCTTCCTGACCCGGGGATTAAACCTGGGTCTCCCATATTGCAGACAGACACTTTACCCTCTAAGCCAGCAGGGAAGCCTTAGACAAAAACAGTATTTCCTAACCAGTGGTCCCTGATCCCAATAAAAGCTCATCTGTGGAGAAGCTGGGAGGGTCCTGGGAAGAGAGACAGACAGACAGGTAGTCGGGGTAGGGGAGGGGGGGGAACACAAACCCGAGAATATTTCTAAAGCACATACTATGCTCTTATCCTTCACGTCCAGTCAGATAGCTCAGACCATTGTTCTCTCAGATATTTTCTCTGGGGTTCAATTCCACTTCTTTGCCATTATCATCTCTCTGACCCCTGCCTTTTCTACTTAATATCTAGATTCCAGGTTTCTAAAACTTCATGGCCTGCTTGTCTAATGACTTCATATAATTCCAGATTGGTGCTATTCAAATACTGTTTTATCATGCTAATCCCCTTTCCAAAGCTCTATTTTTCTACTGCTCAATATCTCACTTGCCTAACATGAAAAGTTTAAATTTCTTTCCTTGACTTTTCAAGGGCTAAATAAATTAGATTCCTTCTACTCATCTCTATAAACTATTAAGTTAAAATGATATTTATTTGTAAGTCAGTTGATCACAGTACACTCTTTGGAAAGCTGATCTTTGTCTCTATGGCATGACTTATGTTGATCAATTTCCCTCAAGTTGGATGAATTTGAGGGAAATTCCACTCTTGTTTTATGCAAATTCTATTCCTACTTCTGGACCCAACTCATTCATGAAGATGTTTTTCTAACTACTCCCAGTCCATACTTGTTATTCATGTCTCTAAAATTCTAAAGATAAAATTTAGGCATTGAATACATGAAAAGTCATGTTTGGCTCATAATTTAGCTCTTAAAAATAATAATTTCAGTCTCTGGCCATACTGCCCTGAATATACCCAATCTTATCTGTTCTTGAAAAAATAATAATTTCTTGTTTGTTTTTTTAAATAATATAGGTTTTGAATTTTCCTTTACAACCTATGTGAAAAGTAACATAGCAAGTTAGTTAGAGGCTTAGAGAATACTTGTAAAAAAGCTCTTAAGACTATGAGGAAGATTAAATGAGATGGCATATGCAAAGCCTTCAGCCCAGCATCTGGTGCCCAATAAATGTTATCTCTTATAAATGATCTGAGCAATGACAAGGGAATATACAACAAATGGGTCTATTTTCCGTGGTCTCTATGGATCTCCCTTCTTTTACTGGCAAAGACTATTTCCTCAAGCCTACACATTA